GAGAAATCATTTTGTGTTCTCTGTTATCATGAAACAAGATTAAGCGTTTCCATGCAGCGGAAGAGAGTTATCGACAGCATTTTGACTAACCATGTTCCGTATATAGCTATCAAGCATCTTACTTAGTTTCATCGGTCAGCTATCCTATCAAATCTGTCTCTACTAGAACCCTTGTCTGGACTTAACTCTGTCTTTTGGGCAGGGCTGTTTCTGCATACCAAATACTGACACCTCCAACAAAGAAGCAGTCGGATGGATTTACTTCCCTTTGCTGTGTGCAGGCACAGATAAATTCTCTCTCTTTAGTCTACTCTCTTGTAAGTCTCATAAAGTTATCACAGACATGGCTCATTTCATAGGTGTCTTATACTCCACCAGCCCAGGGGTGTCTAGTTCTACACTTTTTTCCAATTACTCAGCATTCATCATGGTGCAAAGATACTCTTGTGTAAGCCTATCAGTGATTTCCCAAGGCTTTAGAACATAGTATCTTTAGCGAAGTGGTCCCTTTGGCATTACAGACACCAATGAATCTGCAGGTTCATGTGAGTACTTCTTTGTTCAATTCTACTTTAGGCACTGAAGTACTTAGCAAAAAATAGGTTATTGACCTCCCAGCTGGTGTTTTCCCAGAGGAAAGAGTGCATGGACCCTATCCACATATAATGGTATGAAAGCTGAAGCCGTAAGGTGGCTGATACATAGACATTGTGGGAATAAGGTGAAGATGGGTGGGTGATTCAATTTTTGGGGTTTAACACATTTTTAAAGAACAAATAGTTCTATTAGCAGTAGATGGAAGACCTGCTTGTTGCACAAAGCTAAGGTATGCGTATACGTGATCTGACAACTGGAATCAATTTCCTGTCGTTAAACTCTGTTTATTTTTAAGTTTATTTTTAACAACATAAAATATTTGAAAATAACACTAATATGAAGCCCACCCATTTACAACACAATATTTTTAAAATGTATTCCAAATAAATGACCCCATTAAGTGTCTTATGCACAGGTAACTTATTGTGACAAAACATTTCGGTGAGGGAAAAATAGCTTAGGTTAATGTTTAAAATTCGTATTTCTATAAAGTACGATTTTTTTCAGTATGCATTGTATGCATAAATAACCCCATTCGCAGTTTTTTAATGGAAAACGTTTATCACAGTCACTTCCTTGTGATGTCTTGCAATGATGTAAATGATAGAAGCTTCTACGTTCACAGATTGTCAAATGAATGAAGTTCACTGTGCCTCACAGAGGAAAGGCAATTTGTAATGTTGATGAACAGTAACACTCAGAGGAAAGTGTGTAAGGTAACAGCAAGAGAAAAAAACTCAGTAAATATAATAGCTCTATATTACAATTTTGCAGTTTGACTCATTCCGATTGCAGAATGAGCACAGCTAATAACATCTTTCCCTCTTCTCTCTGGACTTCTTGCCACATTTCTTCATTACCTGCTCCATTACCCTCAGATCCACCCTGCATGAGCTTGACTTAAATCCTCTTTCACTGTGTCAGTCAGAGAACGATTCCAGTTCTGCAAACAAGGTGCCTCCCAAACAAAGTTTTCTATTTTCCAAGTTAAACCTGTATTATTATTATTTCAGATTTTTGCTTCATTCTAACTCTTCACAAAAACTTGTCTTCCTTTTCGAAGTGCTCCTATGGTTTTATGCAGCCTTCATTGCACACTACCACACTAGAGTGAGGGAATAGTAAGCTTTATGCAATACAGCAACTAGAGATATTTACATGGTATTTTCAGCGTAGTGACCCGTAGTGATACTGCTACAAATGGTAGGATAAAAAGTGCTGAAGACCAATATGAGGTCAAGTGCATTAAAACACAAAGAATAACAAAAATATAATTACTTTTAAAGGATATGACCTTTTTTTATATTGGAACAATAACACTGTCTTGACACTACTTATGTCTGAGCATGTAGAAGCCTAACATGAACAACACCAGTTCTTCAGGGTTTAGAATCAAGAAGGTCTCTTTAAATGATCAGCAGCTGAACATCACATTAAACTGGTCCAGATAAGTCAATGATTAGCTGAATTAGGTCATTAAGAATCTAGGTGGAGTACGAAATCCCACAGACAATGAGCCTCCAGCCTCCAGGACATGTTTATGAATTGCACACACACACATACTGTATATTCATTGCTGTGAAAGGAACAATGGAGTGATTTAGCAAGTTTCTACTCTTTTCCATCACATAGAAACAATTCTATGGCCATTTTTCTTCATGCAGAAATTCATGCAATTGTCCACTGTACTTTTAGAGATTTTCAGTTAAGAAAACAGATAATCCTCTGAAGTACCTGAAGAATTTTCTATGTTGCAATATATTGCAACTTCTGAACGTATCCAAGACGTAAATGCACTGTAACAAAGGCCTGTAACAAATGGACTTTTCTTTAGATCGAATGCATTTAAGTGTTGAGGTTAGGACATGTTTAGAACAGTTACTTTCATGCTCTTTCCAGCACTATCAAGAGTAGGTTATCTTTAGCAATGTGTATAGTATAAACCACAAAATTCCCATAAAATAAATCTTCAGTAATAGCCAGTCTCTAGTACACCCCAGGCTATTGAAAATATAAACACCATGTCCATTTAAAAACTGGGTTATGTTCTTTATCCTATGTTCTGAACCCAGCTATAGTTCTAAAAGCCCAAGTCTCATTTTCTTTAATATTGTGATATATGTGATACTTGCCTTCATTAGTTATTCGTTGCCTTTTAAATTCAGATCTTTTTTTTGTTATACCCACCGAGTTATGGAATCCATGGCTGAGTGTTTTTTTTAATGTCATGGCTCACAGCTATGAATCATGCGACATCACACATGAAAGAATAAGGAATTTCAGATAGACTCCTTTGACCTGCCACCCTTCTCACCACTTCTGTTTTATAAATGTTATACGTTACGTAGTCCTTTACTGGAGGTTTATCTCCGGTTGGAGATATTTGGCTTCTAAGTTTAGCAAACACTAATTCAGCATAGCATGAGGTGGTTAAGATTTCTCACTAAATAATTTCAGAATCAGGATGTGGAAGCTATAACTATGATATGTGATTTCTTTTCCTATGTACATTGTTTTAAATTTCCCCCAAAGGTTTGTACAATTACTTTCACAAAACCAGATTAATTGTGCTTTGAGGCATGACATTCTGAAAATGCTCTGCAGCACGAAGGCTAAATGTAACCAGTTACATTTAAAAGAAAAAGAATCCAAGGTGTGTAAAAAGATAAATTACTAGATGTTTTCGGCCAAGAAAATGATGTCCACAGTTCCGCAGCAAAATGATTAAGTTTCAAAGGTAAGGCTTTAAAAAGTCTCATTCATTCAAAAATATTGCATTTCAGAAATAAATACTTTAAGACAGTTGCTGATGGGAGATGCTATTACTGTACTGTCCCAGACTGTGAACAAGGAACTGGAAAAAAATATTCTAAAAAGATCACCAGGATCTCAAAGGCAGTATAGCCTCTGACTGAGCAATAATGACAGTGCCATTACTCAACTGAGCTCTAGCACACTGATAATGGAACCATATCTTAATAGAGTGCACATCCTATAAACCTTCATCCTCAAGAAATATTGGATTGGCAGGGAACAGAAAGAGAGCGACAACAAATAAAAACTACAAAGGCTATGTGAACTTTGAACTTTTTCAAAGTGTAATGTATACGAAAAACAGTTTTGAAAAAAAAACCACAACCTAAGATTGATAGCCAAAGCAGTTTCACAGATGCTTATCAGTTTTATCACCACCATTTACACAAAAATGAAAATGAGGCCATCATTGCTCAACATTTTCTGACAAACTCAGTGATTCTATCCAAGTGTAGATTTAAAAAGGGACAACATTTCAACTTCCACAATTCATCATGGGAACCAATTTAATGCACTGACAATTACTTGTGGAAAAAACATTTTTCATACCAGTAATGTTGTAAAACATCTATAGTTCCCCACTATCCTCAAAACGTATCTCGTTTTATCTCGTTGCTCTTCTGTGGATTTTTCCCAGATTATTCCCAGGCTATTCTTTCTTTTAAGGTGGAGACCATGAAAATATAAGAATGTTAAGAAAGGCTAAAAATAAGGGGAGGCCAATTTGCAGTACATAGTATTCCAGCCATGATCTAATCAGACTACAACACATTTTAGTATATCCTCTCTTCCTTTCAGTTTTACAATTTACACGTTTTATGCATCACAATTTCTTTACTGTTTTTGGTTTTGTACGTTTTCCAGATGTTTAGAGCAATGAAATTATTACAACCCTGGAGCCATGTCCCTGTTCATCACTGACAGAAGCACCATGACAACCCCTTCACCAGCTAATCACAGATGGTAAAATGTGGTTTCCCACATTGTAACGTTTTTGCTAATCTACCGATGGGTTTTCTTCTACGGTCCTATTGCTTAACTCTTTTAGTCATATCCCAAAGTCATGCTACTTTAAGGATCCAAAACCCAGTGACTCCCAGTGGGCTTCACAGCATCCTAAGGGAAGTTGTGTTGGTAAACATAACCCTGTCTCAAATCTACAATCATAACACGGAGACTATAACCCAAACCATGAACCTTAAATCTCACAAGATTACACACCAACAATACACCCAGACATAAATTAAACCACATAACACAATTATAACTTTCACCCACAACCATATAACCATATAGCCAGATCTATAATCCAGCTGTCTTTCTTTTTATCTTTCCTTTTGGGATTATTGATAACAATGTTTCCCCTCACACTAAAGCTTGTAAAAGGAAAAAACAAAACATGCAGTGTCTAACCACATGCTTTCTTCCACGCTTAAATTCAGTTGGCAACTCTTTAACTATACTGTAAAAAAAGGCACGTGTTTGGACCACAGAATTTTTTTCAAAATTGAAAAACTTTTTCCCACATTTAGGGAGCTGTTTACTAAATCACTCCGCCAGCACAAAGAAAATGGCATAGAGGAGATGGTCTCAGGCTGTCAAAGTAAATATAATACAGAAGACTATACAGACAACTCACCCCCATATCACATAACTGAACATTACTGCAGAAGTACGTTGCACACTGCTAGCATTTTGTAGTGTCCATAGCTGTTTTTTAAACCATCTACCAGTCCAGAGCTGACATAATTAAAGTCTATTTCATTGTTTTCAAAACATAAATATGCATAAATATAAATATAGAAATGCAACATATTCTGTTGGTTCAGATACTCATCTTTGTTTTATGTCTCTCCGTATTTATGTGAAAGCTAAAGGGTTTCAATACAATTCATTACCACACACACACAACACAGATCTCTAATACAACTTTCGTGAAAAAGCCACGTAACTACAGTGAGTTGAGCTACTGTCCATTAAAGACTGCCCTAGTACTCACAATGAACTGCTCCACATCTCTTTCCAGCCCCACATTAGGAAGATCCGGCATCATGTGTGCCACTACTTTGAATCCAGCATCCTTGGCTAGGTGGAACGACTCACAGACAGCCCTCACTGTGTGACCCCTGCAGACAGACAGATAGATAAGGGGACAGTGAAAGACATTTATTTCCAAGTTTATTCATCCCCCTCAGTCAAAACCAAATCTAAAATTCCAATTATAATCTTAAGAACACCTACGAGAATAGTTTTATATTTAACATTACATCAAAACCTCATTTCAACAAGTTTAAATAAATTGATGTCAACATTTCTACTCTAGGGTTTGTTTTCCATTGATCATGTTAAGGTAAAAGTGTCATATTATGTGATGTGTTCAAATGACAGATAATACAAATCCCCAGAGAAACATTCAAATGTAATCATTTTGGATGAATGCCTGAAAGAGCAAATTCCAACAAAAATGAAGAATTCTGTGATGAGTGCACACTATAAATCAGACCAATTAAGTCGCTCCAATTAGATGCTTATGTTGTATGAATGCAGTTGATTGAAAAAAAGTTTTAGAACTTTATCTGGACTTGAAAGAATTTTAGCACTAAGAAGTTTAGAATGGTTTATTATTTGAGCCAGTTTTTGTGCCAGTTGCCCAGCGCCTGAGCTCTGACCTGTTAGTGTCTCTGGCCACATCTTCATACACACTCTGCACACCAATCTCCAGTCGAGTACAGCCATATGACAGCATGTCACTGAGGTGGCGCTTGAGGCAGTAGTCTGGCCGTGTCTCAATGGTAATGCCCACACACTTAGTCTTACTGCGCTCTGAGTACCTGAGGGGAAACACACTATTATGTTGGGTCTTCTAAATAAAAGAGGTACGAGTTCAAACACAAAAGGAATATCAAAAGAGTTTTTATGCTAGTAAAAAGAAGCCATTTTCCATATTATTTATTATATCCCTGGAACAGAGAAAGATCCCGAAATAAATCTTTGTTTTACTCAAGAACATTTAAATTTAAACATAAATACAACTGCTTTTTAACTACTCCTATGCAATATTTTTTTACCTATTTGTACATTGATAAAAACAACCCCTTGAAGATCTATATTTTCTTTTATAGACATAAAAAGGTTTTATTTCTCTTATTAAAAATCTGAATGTCTGTATCTTCATGATTTATTTCTGTAACATTAAAAAAATAGAAGCCATTTATTAAAGTATCAAAATCGTCCTGACAATTTTCCACAACATTGTTTTCAAATAACTTGTGTAGTTGTTCAAAAATTCCTATCCTCTTAATAGAAGCCACTATATAAATCTAACAAGACAAAAATACCTTTGAGGTTAGAAGAAAAAATTCTAACTGTAAAATGAGCACTGTTGTAACCTAGTCAAGTTGCAAAACAAAAGATAGAGAATAATTAATAATAATGTAATACTGGCACCTGAATTTTCAATATATCAATTTTGAAGGCTTAAGGAAGTAGTCATCTAGTTAAATGAATAACAAACTAGAAACTTCAATTATTCTAATTGAACTGCAATTTGTGACTCAAACATTGAATGGCAAACAAGACTAATTGCCCCCCCAAAAAAAAAATAGCAGAGATAGCAGAAGACTACATTATGGATTGAAGAAAGAATTCTTGCTCTGTAAGCACAGTATTTTCTTTGAGGTGTCATTTATTAACTGTTTTAACTGTTCCATATCCCTTCAAGGAGCAAACTGAATTTACAGGAAATTTTGAAAATACTTTTCTCGGCCTGAGAGGTCTACCCCCCTCCATCCTTCTACTCTGCTCTTTCAGATCCTCTTCCTATCTGGTCCCTATCACGTCACTAATCCCTAACTCTGGGAGAACCAGATAACCCGCCAGCTTCTGAGTCTATTGCTGGATGAGTCATGCTGTGATCATACACCTCATTCCCACTGGCAACAGAAAAGTAAAGAAGGAAGCTTTCTCCTTGAAATGTTGCTGACCCAGAATGTTCTCTTCTATTTTTGCTTTTCTGATATAATTCACAATATTCTCCAAGGCCTGCTGCCCATTGTAATAAGGCGGTCAGTAACAAAAAAGAAGCAACTCTCAACAAGGAAACAAAAGTTTAAAACCTCTTACAACATCTGAAACTCAGATGAATATTTCAGGATAAAGGAAGATGAAGTAAAGCGAGAAAGCAAATGTGATAAATAAACTCTCTTTTAACTCTTCACTTTAGTCCACATATAACAACAACATGAATATATTTTTTATTGATTCTGGAGTACAATACCTCCTGTATGTAGTGTAGCATGTTCCCACATGTTTTCACAAGAATTTCCTCCCATCTCCCAAAGTTGAACATACCATGATACGTTGACATGTAAGATTACACAGGGCGAAAAGGTGATAAAAGGTGACTGAACACAAAACTGATCAGGAATTAAAAGGTATGTTTGAAACAAACAAAAAATGAAATTAGCTTGAAAAGTAACTGTTATAAGCTTTAATGAGTCTTTTTTGCTTACATAACACTTTAAATTAAAATTATATACTGAGAAAATATAAAGAAATGTTGACCCTAGTGCTTATAAAGCCACTATCCTGTCTGTTCATAATGGCTTCTGGGAGGTGGTAGTATTACGAAAACTCCACTCTGCCAGAGCCAATACCTTGGGAAAACCAAAATCAATGGTTGTTTTTGCTTGAAAATATAAATATTTGTTGTTTTGCTAATGAAAGGAATGTGCAAAGTTTCTAAATAAACTATACCTTTTAGAAAGGTACTGTTTAGAAGAGGAGCTTCAACAACCTGTGGATGAGATCTACAACCCACCATGTAACAACTGCTGTTGACTAAATTCACATTCAGGTTAAGAACTGTTTCTTTTTTCCTTATTTTTTTCCTGTTTTTGCTATGGTAATTTAAAGAAACATAGGGCGGAAATTTGGTATAAATAGCAAACCTTGTGTAAACCTTGTAAATAAACCTTGTGTAATAGCAAACAACTGCATCAGTTAGCACTTGTTTAGGAATCATCTGTGTGAGACTGTTATACTGAAAAAAAACTGTTGACTTACAGCAAAAAAAACTTTCCTAGTACAAGAATTTCTCAAGTTACATGATCTTAATTTGTGAGATACAAAAATACAGATTTGAGGTCACCTTAGCACACTTGTGCTAGCATAAGTAAACTTAACACAGTGTTTGAGGCAATATACTGTACACTCTGCACACCTAGTTTGCACTATGCAGCTGAGCTCTCTTTGTCTCCGTTTTTTGCTGCTACTGCTCATCTTTAATCATCGCACTCTAAACTAAACAAATCCATAGAAAATCATCTTAGTTTCATGGTTGTTTCAACGATTGCTTATACTGAAAATCTAAAATATAATCAATAAAATCTACTGTGTAAAATAAATCTTTACACTGACATTCATGCACAGAATTTAATAAAGCATTAATATATATTTAAAAGACTACTAGTACTATTTATACAAATATTTTGTTCCATTTTTAGGTTATATACACTTACAGTGTAAAAAAGAAAGATGCAGACAATTCTATGGACACTATTCTTCAAATTCTGCTCACTGCCCACCATGTACAAAGGCCTTCCCTTCACATTTTACATGAAACTGATAAACATCAACAATCAATTAGCTTAAAAATCAACTTTTAGCCCGACTACATAAACGTCTTATTTTTATTTAAAAACTTGCAAACTTTGTAGTCATATGTAACTCATAAGATGTGCGAATTAAACTATTCTTTAGTGTAAACATTAATGTATTGTCTATTGTCAACACTTTATTTGGTTTAGTTTTATATTAATCAAATTTGGGATCTACTTGTCTTTGATATAGTTGTTAACCTACCTTAAATCTGTATATGTTCTGGTAAAGTCTTTATGTATATAGAAATTGTAGGACAAAAAAAAGCATAAATAAGTATAATTGTTTTGTTTCACTGTATGCTGTGCTCCAGCTCCCAGTTTTGCTTTTACTAGATGAAGTTAATTATGCTTGTTCACACATTTGAATAAAACACTCTTCATACATTTTTCTGGTACTCTTTTTTTTGTTGTTGTTATATATAAAGATAGTGTAGAACATCTACATCACAGTTTACCAAATTACCGAAATGTGCAAGATATTTATATAGATTTTTGCAAGATAAAATGTGTCCAAGATTACTAACATTAAATATGGTGCTGATTAAAACCAGTTCTGTTGCAATTAAAACTATTAGCCATCCCACTTATAACTAACTGAACATCACATTACTTAATAAAACTGGCTATGTTTCTGAACAGGGACCTCTGAAGAACTTAAAATAAGAAATAATTTTGCATAATTTAGTTAATACCACCCAACCTGTTTTAGTTGTATAATAAAAGTGAAGAAAACAAAATGAAGAACCAGCACACTGATGGGAATCAAGCACTGTATACTGGGGATACTTCAGAAATCAATATGACATCCTACTGATGCTGTTCACTTTCTCCAGTGGGCCAAACACAGACTCCGCTCACATTTCTGGTATCCCCAGTCTGCAGTAGTGCTTGTCCATTTATGTGGAGTTACTGCACCCACAAGCTATATTTAACCAATCCAATACCACCAATAAGAATTTACAAATAATTAGTTTTACAAATCATTAGAAATGTATGAACGTTATAATAGGAGAGGGAATAAGCATTGCTATATTTACTACCACTAAGGACATTTCAATCTCACCACAAATGGATCTCCTTTTCCATTAGAATGAAATTGAGATTGGTAACTAAAATAATTCAAGTATTATTAGACAGCTTCAGAATAAAGGTAAGAATATTATCACAATTACAGAATGTAATGTTACGGGTTTGTGGAGACCTTTATCTTCTGGTTTCAGATAGTAACATGACATAAAAATAACACAAGAAAATAAATCCTATTTCAAGGATAGTTTTTGGTGGGGGGTAGTGCTACTTTTTAAGTTCGTAACTTGTTTTTACAAAAAAATAAAATTCACTCTGTTCACTCTGACACAAATTTCTAAGCCACAACCAAAGGCATACCAGACACTCTGCTCATGCTTCTGAAAAAGACAGTGTGCTTGATTCCTCAGGTTCTCCTCCGCCCCTGTCCCCTGTCACAGGCACAGATAAGATATGTGCCTGGAATCGAACATGCCCTGGGAGAGAGGTGGGCTGCTCTGCCTGATTAACAGCCAGAGCAATTAAACTTATCGTGTCATCTAAATGAACTGGCAGATCAGCTGGCATTGATAAGCGGCCACCACCTTCACTTCAGCTGCACGTCTCCTCGGTAATCCAGGAGACCTCTTCCACAGAATATTACCTATTATCGCAGAAACTGAAATCCCAGATGGCTTTCCAGTCTCATAACAACTTCAGCTAATCTCAAATAAAGGGTAGGATGAATAGCATGAATAATAACATAAAGCCCCTTTATATACTTCTACGCCCACTTCTTAAAAAAAATGTACTAAGTCATTAATCGATTTTATCAGGCATTTAATGTAATTCTCCTAGGAGCTGCTCTGTAAAAGTATATAGTGAGGCAAACAAGAATCAGCTTAACCAGTGGGAAAGGTCTGGGTAGTGTGTGTATTGTATATATACAGTATATAAATACATATAAAGTTATAAGCAGAAGTTAATTCCATGTTCAAAATTAAAAATAAGAAAAAATAACATTCTAGTTATGGTGCATTTTTTATGTATGCCATCTATAGAAGTCAGCACCACCTTCATCTCAACTGCGCTCCACGGGCCAAAACTGTTGTTCTCCCTACTAATCTCTACCTCTGCATGTTGTTATGCAGGTAACACAATTACTC